GGACAGGAAATCTGAGACACTAGGGCGCGCTCCAATTTTCTCTAAAGAACAAGAACGGGAAATTGCCGAACAAGTAAAATCTCTCGCAAGGTTATTCTTTGGAATAACGCCCACTGAGTTACGACAGGTGGCTTACAAATATGCCGAAATAAATCATATCAAGCATCGTTTTAATAAGGAAACAGCGATGGCAGGGCCAGACTGGTTTAGAAGTTTTCTTAAGAGGAATTCTGATATTTCTCTGAGAAAACCGGAAGGGACCAGTGTAAGTAGGGTGTCTGCCTTTAACAAACTGGAGGTTGATAGATTTTTTGATAATCTAGAACAAGTATTAACAAAAAACAAATTTGGCCCGGATCGGATATATAATGTAGACGAAACAGGGGTGTCTACAACACCAAAAGAAGTCGGTAAAAGGCTGGCACCAACTGGTGTGAAACAGTTTGGTACTATTTGTTCCTGGGAACGTGGGAAAAACATTACCGTGATCTGTGCTGTCAGTGCCACAGGAAACTTTGTGCCCCCCTTATTTATTTTTCCTCGACTGAGGATGAGTCCTCATCTCCAAAAAAATGGACCTTCTGGTTCTATTTATACGTGCACAAAAAATGGATGGAGCAACGAACAAGTTTTTGTAATGTGGCTGAAACATTTTCAAGCAAAGGTATCTTCTACTGTTGATAATCCAGTATTGCTTGTATTTTGTATTGGATAATCATTCCAGCCACATTTCATTGCCCATTTATGAATTCTGTAAGAGTCATGGAATAATTATGGTTAGCATTCCGCCCCATACATCACATAAGTTGCAACCCCTCGACCTTACTTTCTTTGGACCACTTAAAAACGCATACAGCAGACAATGTAACCTATTTTTGAAGAGAAAAATTTCTAACCCACAAGAAGGAAACACATTAACTCATGATGTAGCCGAAATTTTTAAAGTGGCATATGAGCAAGTGGCAAATGTGGAAAAAGGAGTTTCAGGTTTTGCCGCCGCTGGAATATATCCACTTAATTCTGAAAAATGTTCAGAAGAAGATTTTGCACCAGCCGATAGCTTTATGAGTGAACAACCTTTAAAGGAAATTCAATTGCATCAATCACCATCATCTAAACATCTACCTCAAGAACTATCTCCACAACCATCTACAAGCACACAATCAGTGCCTTTCCTACCATCAACAAGCAAACAACCAGTACCGTCAGCAACAGAGCTTTATTTTATACCGGAACAAATTCCAATTTCAACACTTTTACCTGTACCCAAAGCACAGGCCAAGAAAATTGAGAAGAATGTACGTAAAAAGCAGCATTCAGAAGTCTTAACTAGCACCCCTTTCAAACAGAATTTGGAGGAAAAAGAAAATAAACGAAACCGAAAAGCCATGGCAGTAGCAGGGAAAATAAATGCAACCGTGAAAACAAAGAAGAAAGGCAAAGTTGTGAGAAAAGTTTACAAGGAATCTGACTCTGACAGTGAAATAAGTGTCGACGAAAAAGAAATATGTGACGACGATGAACTGGACGATATTAGCAATGCTTCTGAATACGACCAATGTATTATTTGTGGAGACACTGGAACAAAAAATGAAATGTGGTATAGGTGCACTATTTGCGGTTATTGGGCACACAGTGTGCAGCGGTGTTGACTCTCCTAAAGGTTTTGTATGTGACTTATGCCAAAATTGAGTGTTTTGTTTTTACTGTGTTTAATGGCATTATTACTTGAATTTAGCTTTTACTTTGTAAAATGAAGGTTTTAGTTGTTTTGTTTTATTTTAATTTTATATAATATATTTTTATTTGAGTCAATTTGTTAGCCTTTATCACCATAGTGCATTTTAATAAGTGCGTCAACTTACCCAAACCCCAAGGAAAAGACGACGCAATGCAATTTTTTCAGAATGTTATGCCTACCAGGTTTTTATGAGACTAAAAAAAATAATGTGGGTATATAATAATTACCAACACTGCCATATAGTTATTTAACGGATTTGGCATTGTTCGTGCAATAAATAAAAAAACAGTAAGCGATTCCTGTTAGGTGCGTCATCTTCAACCACTCTCCCCTAAGCGCTATATTCTTTGACAAACATAATAGCTGCGAAAGTATAGTGAACATCAAAGCGTACGATGAGAATAGCTCCGGTGCTCAGAACGATCAAGATGCTACTCAGATACCAAGATGTGACGAAATCGAGGGCATAGATGATGATCACTTCCACATGTTGCCTGGGCCTATCAAGCAGCGTGCACCAGATTTGTTTTTGGCTACAGAGAATAATACTGAAAATGAAGTTCCAGGCGATATTACACCAGATATGTTGACTGATTTTGGAGAAACACTTAAGGCTGGACAGTACACCCGTTCCGTTGCCCGAAAACGCGTGATTTCGTTCCACGATATCTTAATTCTGAGTGAAGTTGAAGAAGGGGTCGAATATTCCTGTGAAAGGTGAATGCTTTAGCTAGACAATAACGCCGGGGTTTACTAAAATGTTTTAAAATAATCTTTTTATTATACCTGAATCACAATCTCCGTTTTAAACACTCAAATGCGTGCGAAAAAGGGCCTTTAAAACACACGTGCTTTAAAGTTGCTAAGTAACGATACTTCAAGTATGACTTTTGAAACTGTCATCTGGATGAAATAAAAAATCCTCTTAGGTCGCTTTCTGTAAATGCAGAACATTTCTTTGGCTTTTGTACCTATCCTTTGGTTGAAGCTTTCACAAACGCGCGTAATTTAGGGTATGCTTCCAAATCTGTTCCACTTTTTAATCGCAGCATTGCTTTAAAGTTTTGAATGAATGCACCAAAATATAGAAGATTTAAATACCTTTGACATTTCCTTCATATATGCCAGCATTATGGATGCATTTAAGACTGTATTCGTAAGTAATTTCCTATTCATCCATGGAAACAACTTTCATATTCTTTATAATAGGCTTTACTGGAGTTGGATTTTATACCTACCAACGTTTGTTTAGATTTTACAACAATCGATTTAATGGACGGTGTATTATCTTTTTCAACGGAAATCGTTTAATTCACAAAGACGATGATTTTTATAAGCAAACGTCAAGTGACATTTCCATGGCAATCGTGAAATTACGAACACCCAGCCCACTTAATTAGACATGTATTCGAGTATAACGTCAATATGACTTCATTGTATTTCCTATTTTTAAATTATACTGCAGGTATAATAAAAAATACTATAAGATACACGTGTATAATTGGTCTTTAAAGCACTTGCAACGTTAAAGGCACTCCGCTTTGCGTCGTGCCCTTAAACTCGTTGCGCGTGCTTTAAAGACTTGATTATACACTTGTATCTTAATATACTATTTTTTTAAGGGCAACGTCGAGGGCTGTTAGGGTGTCATATTTTGGAAAAGAAAAAAGGAAATAAATTTTCCTGGCGTTATTGCCTAGATATTAAGTTTACGAACGTATCTTAATTTTGGAAATTGTTCCAACTTCATTTATAGATAAGTTATCTTGGAAAAACAACTTAAAAGTTTTCTCAAAAAGTAAGGTGACCAACTTACCATGTCATGAAAATCGGGACACCCTCCCCCCCCCCCCCCCCCCCCCCCAGACACACACACACATACACACTTCGGTACGGAAGTATAATGAAAGGCAAATTTCATTTTATTATTTTTAATGCATTTAAAAAACCACATACATACATCTACATACGATGAATAACATAGATTTTGTTTACTTATGTTTAAATGAATATTTTTTTTCAGAAGAAATCGCACTCAAGGCATTTTCATTATTAAGTAATAATGAATAAAACTCTTGGCAACTAATTAATTCAAAATTAATTTTCGTAATAATCATAGATTTTAATGTAGCTACCTTGAGTTGCGTTTTATCCACAGTCCAAATGTTATTTACATGAGAAAACACTCTTTCCAATTGAGCGTTTGTACCTGGCAAACATAGTGCGTACTCAACTAATAATAATAAATTGGAAAATGGGTGATCATTGTCTTTAAAAAAACTGAACACGCTTACCCATCTAGTGCTAACAGTAGTTTTTTGCTCTTTCCAAGAAGATATTTGATTTCCCATGAACGTTTTTAAAATCATCACTTCATCAAATAATTCATTCTCGTTTACCATTTTCCCTAGATTTACAATTTCTAAGCATGATTGAAACTCACAAAATTCTGGAATTTTATTTAAAAGTACCCAGTTAAATTTTTGTAACTTCTCAATTTCAGGATTTTCCCATTGTTTTAAATATTCAATGGCCGTAACAAAGAAATTAAACATTTGCGTAGAAATTATATGCTTATGTTCTTGAAGTTCTTCGGAATTTAACATATTTTGTAAAATTAGTGGTACAAAATTATTGTCATTTCTTGATTGAAGTTTATTAATCAAATCTTTAAATATCATAATAATTTCTACGCATGAAACGTTTGCTCCCTCCATCTTTAAAATAGTTTGATGAAAAATTGATGCTACATTATGGACAAATAAGAGCCAAAATTCAGTCTGTGAATTTTCAAAATATGATTTAATTATTACAGGGCATTTATCCATCGACAAAAAATATGACTTTAAAGCTCCGTACATTTGAAGTAGTCGTTCTACAGCTGGCAAAAGTGCCAGCCAACGCGTATTGCTGTACCCTAAGATGTTGCGATATTCAATTTGTACAAAATCACAAAACTCCTTCAATTTTTCTACACGCACAGTATATATATGGAAAAATGAATAAATTTTTGTGGCAAATAGTTCCACATCAATTGGTAGAATATCACATGCAGTTTTAATACAATTATTGACAACATGGGCCATACATCCTATCCCAACAATAGATGGATTATTTAAACTATTTTTTAATTTAACGTAAACATTATTTACACCTTTTCTCAATGCACCACCAAAGTTTGTATTGGTGTTATCTGCACAAAGACCAATTATTTTATTAGTTAAACCAAAATTAGTAATGGTTTTCAGCAAATATTCACAGATTATTGCAGATGTCTCACCAGGTAAATCCTTTAAATCAAGCAATTTAAGTTGAATACCTTCCATAGGCAAAAAATACCGAACCAATATTGGCATCAACTTTATGTGCTTGTGATTGGATGCGTCACAACACACAGTAACAAAGTTCACTGCATTTAAGTTATTTTGAACAGTTTCCATGGCCATCGGTTCAAAAACTGCACATATTATGGCTTCACTTTTGGTTCTAGCAGATGAATACTTAGGCTCGAACATTGACTTAATCAGCTTTGACGTACAATCTCCACTACGAAAACTGTGATTATGTTGCAAGAGATGATATGCCCATGTCCCTTCAGCCGCTGCCAATTTTTTGTTCGAATCATCTAATCTGCTGGACTTACAGAATTTGGTAATGGAAACATTAGCAGTTGTTAAAGTGACGGCACTTTTGTGTTTAGCCGTTGCAACATGATGGATTACGTCTGCATTACCTGCAAAGCAAAGGGTAAAACAAAAACACTCATTATAAACACATGAAATAAAACGGTATTAGAATTTGATTATAATAACAACTCAATTAAACTTAATTTCTTATTAATAAATTATTTATTAAGCTAATTACCTCCATGTCCAATGGAAAACTTGGAACTGCAAAAACTACAGTAAACGTCCGATTCGTTTCCTTGTACTTTCCGAAGAAAAGGATATTTGGTTTTCAAATTATCGGTAAACACGCACTTTCTTTTTAAATTTAATTTTAGCGACATGGCGAGGTACTAGACGCACGACGTTACGCTTACGTTTAAATCATTGTTTAAATGCAGTGCTGGTCACGGTAACTTTCCACGAAACGGTCGCGTCAATAACCGCGGGGTGTAGGCGGTAGCCGACACAAAGGAAACCAGTCTCAGCTGAGGCAGTAAACACAAAATGTTAACAATTTAACATTTTCTTAGAAATCGGGACGATACAAAAATAGTACCGTAAAATCGGGATAAATCGGGATGGTTCGTTAATTCGGGACATGGTATAAAAAATCTAAACCTGTCCCGCCCAAATCGGGACGGTTGGTCACCTTACTTTTACTAACGTTTGATCCTTTTCTTAGTAGTAGTGCTTAGACTTATGCCACGAAAAAGGAGCAAGCCGTTCTGATCAGAAAGAATAGGTCTTTTGATTCCTTACGCGAAAAATTCGTTAATTGAAATTCAGGAAGATGTTCATAGTAATGATAGTGATGCAAGTTTATACCTTTAAGACAGTTCTCGTTTATGTTTTTATTGTTCTCAAATGATTATATGATAATAAATTAAGTTAAATAATTTTGACCAGGATTTTAGAGTAAATACTCCTATGTGGCGTTGTCCAGCCCATTCGCCTCGTGTGACCCGCAACCTTTCGCACGATTTCGTTGTGCCGTTTAATGCGCTCGTGGTGGGCCACGGAACACCCCTGGAGAACATGTAACGGGGATTCCACCTGAGCGCATCCCCTCCTACAGAAACACTGTTCTCTTGGGACGTAAGGGTGGCCCTTGGTGGGGATGTTTGAAGATCTAAGCTGAACGGCACGAACCGAAATCCTTGCCGTTCCATCTTCTGGAGGGGGGGGGGGTCAACTCCAAGATCGGGTGGAGGTATCGTCGGCGGCTTCTTGGAGTCCCATACCTAAGGGCATGGATGCGAGCTTTCACGCCCCCTGAGAGTGAAATCGTGTGTGGGGTCCGGATTCGGCAGGAGTGACGCCGTCATGGTCTCGTTGAGGCCGTTTAGTTTTGCAAGTGGGTTTAAGAGCACCCATGGGACTAGGCGGCGTAGTTCGGGGACCCCAAGGCCGCCGTCTCTCACGATAGCGTACACGTGTTGATTCCCCGTGTGCGTGCTAAGATGTAGCATCCTCCGTATCTTCCCTCGAATCATCCGGTCGGTCTCCGAAGGAAGAGATGCGGTGCCCTTTAGGCTCTGCAGGGCGTACGGGGAACGACCTACGTCGTCGTGAGCCCGAATTTCTGATGCTGCTTCAGCGGAGCACGTTCCACATCACTGAGCCATTGGCGGAGGTTGAATAGGGAAGCATCCGCGATGCTGAATCACATTTCCGTTACAAGATGCTGCCCAACGGTAGGCTAATTACTAATAAGACAAACCAAATTAACAATTTAGATCCAAGTCCTAATAGTATAAATTTAGACGAGCCGTACACCGGAGTCTGGTTGTTTTCAGCGCCGTTCCGTGGACGTTTGTGTTCCCGTCGGTTACCGCAGGTTGGAAGACGGGGTCGGTTGGCCAGAGGATGATCTGGGTGACCTGCCTGCTCCATACAGCAGCCATGAAGACGCGGTGAATGGAAACAGCGCTTGCCTTGGACGAAGATGGTAGACAGAGAGCTGCGGCGGTTTGCGTATTACAGCGAGGCCAGATGCCTCGCACTCCATTCATTAGAGGCAGGAATGTGAGCCTCTTGCCCGGCCACCTTCTTGCAGCTGCCTCCCGGAACCTCGGCTGGTACGATCCGCTTCAGGTCCCACGATTCTGATAGCGTACGTGGGTCCTCGCAGCACACCGGACGTCGCACACGACAAGCTCGGCGGGGCCTATGTGAATGACGAGGTCCGGTTTAAACAGTTGTCCATCCGGATGGTAGACGTGAGGCTCAACCTCCGTGGTGCAGCCCTTCTATCTGGTATGCCTAGCCAACTTGCGTACTATCTCGTCGTGCCGCTTTATGCGTTCGTGGTGGGTCACTGGACATCCCTGTAGCACATGAGACAGGGATTCCACCAGAACGCATCCTCCTTATGTTGTGGCTAATTCATTCGGCATTTAAACCCGCGCCGCCATCGCGGGAAATGGATACCTGATGATATAGTTAGAGTCCGCCCCTGACCGCTGATTACTAGATTGATTGACGACAGGCGTTGCGGATCAGGGTTTTTCGTTTGAACATTAGCCCAGTCAGAATAGGAAAAATAAAGGAACTAATTCATGTATTACCAGTTCCTTTGGAATTATGTAAGGGACGTTTCCCTACTCAACATACAGTAAAGTCCCCCCGAGTACCGCCTGTGCTAAAGGGGGAAGGGGAGCGAGAGTGACTCTGAAGGTCCCATTTCATAGTTTTTTTGCTTACACCGTGGAAAAGGTACGCTATAGCAAACAAATTTGTACATAAAAATGAAAGCTTATTAAATTTGCTATAACTTTGAGTGGATACATAATTATGAAAAAACGCATCGTTTTTATGTTATTGACTATCCAAGGTTGAATATTTTGATATGTGGATTATACATATCAATGTAGTATATGTATGACCAATACCTACATCATGATTTCCTTTGGTTTTTTCCCTCCAGGAAACCTCATCGTAACTGTATAAAGGAGAGGTAGTAATTCGAAAGTGGATCGTGCTATATACAATGTGTAACATCAGATATTAACAGTATCTAAGACTAATTTTCGCTGTCCGAAAAAGTGAATGTGTCGATGTTGTCTTCTTCATCGCTGTCCTCGAGGACCGGTGGGTCATTAAAGTACGCACTTTCACATCCACAAGCTGAAGTGCAGTTGATGCCCGTCTTACGACACCCACACCTCGGGCCGCATCCAGTTCTAGTTGTTCAGCGGCAGAAGATGGAACGGTGCTGGCGGGTCGCTAGTCTTGATACCACATCAGCATTCGATCCTCTCCTCTCATCCAACCCCACCGCTGTGGAGGGTAAATCCCACGCTATTTGGATCGAGTTGGCTAGTACGGTCATGTGTATAATTCACATATTCAATCTTGGTGGGTCAAAAACTTGTATTTACATTAAAAGAATTTTTTTCTAGGACGCACCGTTTTCGAATTGTAACTAAAAAAATTAAAATTTTACCATCAAAACCACGGTCTCTCCCTTCACCCCTCTAGCACACCCTGTAGTCGGGGGGACTTTATTATATGTTGATCAGAGAACCTTCTGCTACACATTTCCGAAGAAATTAGTAATACATTTAGTTCCCCTATTTGCCATTTTTTTATCTATTCTTACTGGACTACATAGCGCGCGAGCAATATTAATTTATATCTTATACCATTGCGTCCCTCTTCCGGTAATTGTATAAAGCAAAAGGTGAAAAGGTAATAAGTCCACTTGGGGCGTGGGAGGTTTTATAATGATGTATACACGACGATAAAGGGAAACTAACTATCTAACTCACTGCTGGAAATCAGGGTCTATAGAAAACCTACACCCACTGACCATGTTATCACTTTTGATTCCTAACACACAAGTACACTTGTACATTTCAATGTCAATGTCAATCCGACAGAAATTTCGACACTCAGAGGGAAACAAGGTTTAAATAAAAATAGACTGTTGCTCTGCCTTACTTCATTTAACTGTAAGTAATGCGGGTATTTTCAAAGAAATCATCAAAATGTCAGACATGAAAAATCAATTAACTTATATTTCGTTTCATTTTGGTAAGACCACCCACGTTTGATACTATTTGACATTTAATATTAATAATAGTTTATCTAAATCGGTCTCCTTTTTTAATCCAAAATTGCGAATTCTATAAGATAGTTAATCGAAATTAAAGAGTTGTTCATTAACATCTGCTATTGTTGAATAATAAATACATATTATCCTATCGGTTCAATTTTATACATACTGTGTAATAGAATCTGATTGTCCTAATAAAACCTGTATACGGTACGAATCCAATATCGGAAGATTACTAAATTTCAATTTGACATCGAACTCGTGTTGTATTGTGTAATTCAAAAGCTAAAACGATTAATCTTTTACGGCGCCGCCGTCTGCAATCATATTCGATATCCTTCCAACAATGTAAACGACTTTGCGTTTTTTTTTAAACACGGTACAATATTCTATGAATAAGCAATAAATATCTGAGATTGAGTGATTCCGTCAGAGCGTACGAATTGCTCGCCCTTTTCACCCGGTTAGATTTAGCGTAAATGGGATTACGTTTTCATTGGAGATCCTCGCGCATTTTCGTCTTTAAAACTATCCAAGTTTGAAAATTCCAAATATCGCGAGATTAGAATACGAAGCGTAATGAAAAAACTTTAAAAGTTTGAATAGACTTACTTTTACGCTTCGCCCTCTAGGGAAACGTTCGAAATTTCTCTTAAGGTAATTTATATACATATAAAAGGGTATATTTCCTTGTACCATTCATCATGGTATAGCGTTTCTCGGAGATGTAGTTAACATTAATCAAAAACTTTTATATGATTCTAAATACATTTACATAACAAATATTCTTCAAACAATTTTACGCGCTGTGGAGGAAAGGTAATCCTCAAAGCGTGTACCAGTAGGTATCCCCAACCGTTCTCCCTTCTCGTATTTATTGATTAATTGTTCACGTAATGGATTTCCACATTTTCTGTATGGCGTGCCGTTATCGACTCGCATCTAAATTAGGATACCATGATATTGCACAATAATAGTACATTATATATCAAGGTAGAGAAGTCCACCATTATTGCCTGAGCACCAAGATTACATCTCGAGGCGCTTGCGCCGAGGGGTGTAAGGTGCGAAGGCAATAATAGACTTCTCTTCCGTGGTATTATTTTTTTCACTACTAGCACTTGAAATCCTCTAAATTAACATATTATATTGATAAGAGAGTTAACGGTTGGACAGAATTGTTTGTTTCTTAATTTAACATGTCAATCAAGTACGTGGAAGTACAAGTCAAACAGGCCGTATTTTGTTCTGTCATTGAGATTTTTCAAAGAGTAATTTCGTTCGAATTT